TGTTGATAAATAGTTGAAATATGGAATATTTCTCCTGCTATCATTATATTTTAATTTTTACAAACCTTATTTATTGAGATTGAACTTTCATCTGCAATATTTACTTGCAATGTTCTTGAATCATTTTCCCAATGTTCTTCAGGAATAATATGTTTTGAAGATAAACAAAAGCTTGCATCTGTATCCACAAAACAATGTATTTCCATTTGTTTATAACCTGCGAATTTCAATTTACCTTTTATGTTGATTGAATTCGGGTTTGTAATACTGATGAGGTTATCCTCACCCTGTATCACCGTTTTCTGTACTTGATGTTCCTGAAGAGGATTCATCTTCTAATTTTTCCAGTATATAGACTTCTTCTACATCTGAATATTCTTCTTCAATTGGTTCAAGACCAAATGATTCTGCAATCTGAAGAAATTTTACTTTCTCAGATTTTTGTCTGTTAGGGCATTCATTTGCATAATGACCTTCTATGTTACAGATCCAACATCTGCAATTTCTTTTTCCCTTTTGGACAAAAGTTTTTCTTAGTTTGAATTTTTTTTTCTTCCTAAAATATTTACCAGGTTTAAAAGTTCTTCTCCTCTTCTTTTTCTGGTATTTATACTTTCTAGTGTACTTTTTCTTAGATTTTCTTTTGTATGGTTTACAACCATAATCTGTAGATCTCTCAGAAATTTTAGAACAACAGTTTCTGTTGAACTTTTTCATTTGTTTTTACTTCGTAGTAGCATTACAAATTTTTTCAATTTCTTCTCTTATGAGTCTTTTGGCAGAACCAAAACTATACTTATAAGAATTTCAGTTGCTTCATATTTCTTTGAAGCATCATTTCCTACAATAAGAATCGTTGCTAAATACATTCTAATGTATTCAGGATGTTCTCCAAAATCTATTTTGAAAAGATTCTTTTCGAAATCACAATTGAATTCATCAATATAACAAATATCACAAAGAGTTAGATTGTTTAATCTTACCTTTGCTTTGGATTGTTCTATAAGTTTCTCATTTTTTGCATTTGATACTCGATCAATACCCAAAACAAAGTATATAGACTATTCAGAATGCTTTTGTGCATAACTGCAGGGTCTACATTATGAGTATCCCATTGGACTCTTTTTATAAAATTTTGTGCATTTCCAAGCATTCTATGCAAGTGCTAACACAAGTTGTGCTGTATTGAAAGTATTCGGATTAAGATTAATCACAAGACTCATTTCTATTCCCCATTTATCAACTAATTTCTTAATAGTTTCAGGTTTCTTACAGTCTAAATCTAGGATTGAGGCTGTCTGAACTTCTCCAGCAATACCAGGGATACCGGCATTGTTGTTAGATGATCTAGATGGTCTAGAAGTTACTGATGTTTTCTTTCGAATTCATCAGCATTCATTTTTTGATCATCTTTTGTTCCATATGATTATGGTTTCTCCATTCTAAAATTTTCCTTTAGAAGTTCTTCTTCATCTTTGAAGTTTATTTCTTCTGACTGAGTGTCAGTTTCTGTCTCCTCAATTTGATAAAATTGTTCATCTTCATCAAGTTTTAACAATTTTTTCATTTCAGGATTTAATTCTAAATCTGAATTACATTGTTCTTCATTCATTTATAAAAAACGAATTGTATGTTCAAGCTGGATAGTTTGTTTGTCATCAAGATCTAAACTAATTAGATTCCAGAGATTTTTCTCAAGTTTTTCTTGAAAATTCATTTTTTCAGTGCATCTTTTGGCCATTTAAAGGCATTAGAATTTCCTGAACTTCTCAGTTCTTCATTTCCTACTAAATTATGGATATGAGTATTTTAGAAAAGGTATATTTTCTTCTTGACTAGAAATTACTTTCTGCTTTTTATTTTCTTTTTTTTACAAGGATATTCAGCAATTTCTTGCTTAATATCATTGATTATTTTAGCTGCTATAGGTTCTAAATCTTGTTTAGAATCTTTAGACTGCTGTTGAACAAATTTAAATAATTCTTCTATTTGTTTTTTCAGGATTTCCATATCCCGTTTTATATCCGTAAGATTATAATTCATTTTATATCCCTATTATTATATAAAAACAAATGAGGGTATAATAGTCAATTTGCAACCAAATCTCTGCCAAAATATTTGGTCATTATTAGGTTGTAAATGGAATTGTAAACGGTGTTGTTTGTTTAGACTTTTCCTTTACTTAATTCAACCTCTTTGTTTGCACACTTCTAACATACTTTCGTATTTTTCAGAGAGTGAAATTCTAATTAATTTGATAATATGCATATGTATTGAAAAAATGTGGCTACACATGACCATTAAGTCTATGTCTAACACACTTATAAAAACTTAGAAAGGGTAATTCTTGCAATTATATGACAATAGTAATGCTCACTAACTACAGTGGGCACATGTTAATATGTCCACCGCTTATGTGGCATGCACACATTGGTGATGTTAATATGTTAAAAAGATACACACCAATGTGTGCATGCCACATAAGCGGTGGGCATAGGGGTGCATTACTGAATATGACATAAAGTGATTTTTTTTTCCCCTTTTCCATATTTTATTTTTTTTAGATTTTTTTTTTTTCGTTTTTTCGTTTTTTCTTTTTTTTTTTGGATTACTTAAATAAATGGCATGCCTTAATAAATGGCATTCTGGCATGATCTCACCAGCATGCAAGTGTGGTAGGAAAACTATGACGTCATGCGTTATTTTTGGAATATACACGCGAACGGCAAAGTGTAATGATATTTATTTTTACTTATTTCCAATGTTTTTCTTGAGTTCAGAGATGAAGTTTATTTGATCTGCCGAGAAATTACAGTGGGGCTGTGATTCTATATATGGCCCAGTTACGGTGGTTTGGGCCTCACGGCCCACTGTTTCCAATTTTTAATATAAATTATTTCTTATAAATAAAAATAACAACAAATATTGGAATTAAGCAAACACTCAAAGAAACTAAATAACGAGAAATGCTAAGTCTCAATATGGAACCATTTCGTCGAAATTAGTAACGGTTAGATCATCATCGACAATTGATCTAACAGTTTAATTCCGACAGAATGATTTCACAACGGAACTAACAGTTTAATTCCGACAGAATAATTTCATAACGGAATGAGACCGTAGCATCTTCCTAACACAAACAAACACACAAAGCGCAACTGGGAAAATTTTATAACTGCCCCATTTAATACACAATTCTACAAACGTCAAGGGTTATGATGAATTCCAAAAAAGGTATGATGAATTCTAAGAATGCTTGAATAAGAAGTTGCATTAATCAAAATTCAAAAATATAATTTCTTTTTTTCTCTCTCTTTCTCTTTCTCTTTTTCCTTCTCTGTCTTCCTTCTCACACTTTGTTTTCTGCTATGTTCTTCTTCTTTTTCTCCTCCTCTCTTCTTCTTCTTCTTCTTCAAACATAAAAACTAAAAAAAAATAAAAATAAAAGAATGATCAATTAGTACTACTACTACGTCTGCAATATGATTTGATTTCCATCAATTTCTGTCATTTTTTTTTTAATCTTAAAAAAAACAAAAAATTAAAAATTATGATGCAGACCCTAGTAAGATATTGTCCGCTTTGGGCTACTTCCGCCACCCGCACGGCTTTGTTCTTGGCTGGGCTTCAATACACACCCACCAAAACGCGTCTTACTAGTGAAGGTATCCACATCCTCATATAAGGCCTGCTTCGTTTCCTTTCAAACCCGATGTGGGATGCGCTGCATCAAATTACAAAATAAACTTATATTACAAGAGGTCTGAAATTAGATATATTCAAAACTGAAGAGATATAAACAAGATACTGAGCAACAACTAAGTAATAACATAACAACTAAAAAACAACAAGAAAACAACTTTAAGTTAACCAAATACGAGGGAGATGGAGAAAGGAACTAATTACTGTGATGCACGAATATTTATAGCCCATAACAACAAATTCTAGATGTGCATAAAAACTTGATTTTCGGGACACAGAACAACAATAACTCATCACACAAAAATATATTTTAGTCATTTTCATGCCAAAATCTATTTTGAGTCGCAACCTCAAATGAATAACAAGACCTGAAACCCATATCAAGACATGTCAAAATGGATAAATCGAATTCACCACAGCATTTTTCAAGGATTAAAAAAACTAATTGTATAAAAAAAACACCCAAAAAAAAAAAGAAAAGTAATGGAGGTAGGCTAAGGACAATTTTCTCTATCTTAAATCCAATCACGATAACTGAAAACCATTAAAACCCACAAATTAAAGGAGAAAAACAATGTAAAAAATAAATATTTAATTGATGAAACACAAAAAAGGAAAAAAAATAATTGGGTGATTGATTTACAAGGTCTTGTAGATGTGGCTTCGTGCCGTCATTGGCGAGCCTGAAAATGGGTTTTTTTACGGGTGTCTTCTCTCTTTAGTTCTCTGACTTTCGTTGGATTTCGTTGAAACTTGAGATGGATTCATCTTCTTCTATTTCGGAACACTCGTTTAACGGTACACCCGACGGCGTCGAAGACGAGGAAGGTGTTGGGGATGGAATAGTCCATCGATCGCCATTTATTATCAAATTTTTTGGAGATAGAATTTTTTGGAATCCACTTTTCAGAAATAGAGAATTGAATTGATTTATGATGGAGAAATAAAAATGCATCGCCAAAAAGAAAGAAAAAAAATACTATATGAGGTGAAGAATATTCCAAACGGCCCCAGAAACTTCCAGCCGTTTCGTGGCTCAAATTGCAGGAATTGGATAATCTCAGCCGCACCGTTTTCCAGCTCTCTCTTTCCGCCACGTGTTCCTCCCGGACCACGCGAATCCCACATGGCACTCATACTGAGCTAGCAAATGATACGATGGCGCCCCATTCACAATCTAACCCCTAATCTACTTCATATTTACACTTTGACCCCTCCTTCCTCGATTAATTAATTTCCATCTTCTCACCGGAAATTCCTGTACCTTCCAGAGCACATATCAACAGATCGAAGGAGATATGGGCGGAGCTGAGGCCAACGAAGAGAAGGAGAAGCGGGTTGAGGTCTTGATGTGTGGGTATTTCCCGGGAGTCACGTCGCAGCGGCCGCCGCTTTCCTCGCCGGCGATTGTGCGGCGTCCGGAGGCGGAGGTAGATGGAGATTCGTGGAAGGACGTATGCGCCGGAGGATGCGGCTTCGGGATGGCTGTTTCCGGTATCTGTTGTTAATTTATACCACGCTTTGTGTTTGTTTATTTGTCGAATCTGACTATTTTCTTCGATCTGCTAGTTGGAGACTTAATTGATCGCATTTGAGAATTTGTGGTTGTGTCCTGTGATTTTCGAGCTAATTTAAAACTTTTTTTTAATTAATTTTTTGCAGCTTCCGGTAAGCTTATTACATGGGGTTCGGCCGACGATCAGGGCCAGAGCTATCTGACCTCCGGGAAGCATGGGGTAAAGTTCCGACTAACGTTTCGTGTTCATTCGGATAGTTTTTCAGGAAATTTTACTAACGATTTAGTATCTTTACTGATTGTGATGTACATAGGAGAACCCAGAAAAGTTTCATGTCCCAACAACAGATCGGATTGTAAAAGCTGCTGCTGGATGGGCACACTGTATTTCTGTTACCGGTATAGTGTTGCCACCGTTCAATAATTTTGTTTCGATTACCATGAAGCCGGTTTTAGTCCAAAGATTGAATCTTTAGTGGCTTGTGAAGTACAGATAAAGGGCAAGTGTATACTTGGGGATGGAAGGAGTGTGTTCCCTCTAGTAAAGTCACTCGTAATTGGAATAACATAAAAAGTTTCGAAGAAGATGAAAATTGTGCAAAGCAAAGTTCAGCAACAAAGGAACAAGGTAAATTTGTTCGGATGTAACTATGATTCGGGTTCTGGCTGTGTAGGCTTGCTTAATTTTAGTGGTGGCTATTTATGACAGATAGCCCACGGTCACAGAGTCCGAAATCCACAGGACAAATCTCGTTTCCAAATGACAAATTAGCGGGAATTGAAGCTATGAAACGGAGAAAAGTTACTCCTCAGCAAGAATTGGATGCTTCAATACCTACCGACGAAACTCTATCTATGCCGCCTTGTCTTGTGGAGCTCGATTCTGGGGTAAAGATCACCTCCGTTGCTGCCGGGGGCCGGCATACTCTAGCATTGTCGGGTAAATTGTTGTGTTAAAATTCCATTAGCACGCACTGCACTTTTTTCCAGTGTAGTCACTATAGCTATACATTGTAGGTTTTTGCAGTATGAAGATATGGAAGCTCTTTAATGCTAATCAAGAAAATCTTTTTATATATACCAGAGTTGATGCTTTTACCGGATTTAGATGTGGGACAGGTTTGGGGTTGGGGCTATGGAGGTGAAGGTCAGCTCGGTTTGGGTTCTAGAATAAAAACGGTGGCATCCCCTCATCTCATACCTTGTACTGAATCATCCACGAGTGGATTAGAAAGCTCTGATGTTAGTCAACAAAGTCTTGCTTCTGAAGATAAGAAGTTTATTGGCAACTACGTGAAGGGGATTGTGTGCGGAGGCCGGCACAGTGTAGTGGTGACAGGTAACTATAGGGAAACTAATTAGAGGTTTTCAAAATTGCTTGCATTTTAAGAATTTTTGTTGAAGTTTCGCGGCTTTGCATTATCAGATGCTGGTGTGCTTCTTGCCTTCGGCTGGGGACTGTATGGACAGGTGGGTATATTCTATGCATAGTCCTTTTGTTATTGTATTTGCTGTTTTGACAATTTGATTATGGTAAATATTCCAGCTCATGTCCTATGAACTTTGATGTAAATTTAAATCTAGTCCTATTCTCAGCTGTGTTGCATGGAAAATTGTATGAACACAATTGAATCATATATTAGAAGCTCTGTTGATCGTAGAATTGCCTTTATATTCAAAACAATCTCAGGCCGTTGTCTTGGATGTTGTCCTTTTTCAGATCCACAAACACGTGTTGTTTATATGATCAAGGTGAATAATCCAGAAGAGTAGCAGGTTAGACTGTAAAATGAGAAAAAGAAGGGGAAAAAAGGTTTGCTCAAGAATGATCCCCCAGCAAATAGCTGCCAAAAGATATCAACTATTCCATTTTTACGAGTAGCAACAATACTCATTTGTATAGATAACTAATTCTACAGATCAAAAACCTATTATAATCAATTGGACTTAACAAAATTTAGTTAGTAAAACTAGGAAATAAGTGATAGAAGTGGAACACCTAAATTTATGCTTATTACATTTGTTGTATGTAGTGCTTTATAATTTTTTTTATTTTTTATTTTTTTCTCATGCAGTGTGGACAAGGGAATACTGATGATCTGCTGAAGCCATATTGTGTTCCCTCACTAATGGGCACTCGAATTGAGGCAGTTGCAGCTGGCCTTTGGCATACAATTTGCATATGTACTGATGGTCGTGTTCATGTTTTTGGAGGAAATCAGTTTGGGCAGTTGGGTTTGGGAACTAATTCGGACCAGTGCGAGGTAACTTTTGTTCTGTTCTTTTTTGTTTTTTAGCTGTTCTGGACTTGGTTACTGGTCTGTGCTTTTCTTCTCTTAGAAGTTGCTCGGAATCGGTTATTATCAAGTTCACTGGTGTGAAGTGTTACGTTTGCAAAGACAGTAAACAGGTATTGAGATTGTGTCATCTAAGAATATTGTCATTTGACTGCTGGACTTGAAATTGGCTATGAAATCTGCATGATGAAAAAACAATGTTTGAATTGACATCTTTATTGTGGAAGGAGTTACTACAAAAAAAAATGTGATTCAACTGCAATAGAAATTAATATTACATAAGAAAAAAGTTGATCTTATTTGCTCTAGTTACTACAAAAAAATGTGATTCAGCCGCCGGCCGGCAACTTCCGTACACAACTGCAATAGAAATTAATATTACCTAAGAAAAAAGTTGATTTTGCACTAGTTTTTGTTGAAATAACAGTCCTGGACACGTAAAAAATAAATAAATAAATAAATAAATGCAACTGAAAATTATATTGTTTTTTTCTAAAGAAAAATACATTTTTGACTGTTTCGCGATTGATGAATTAATTTTCATCTTCAATGTTGTTTGTGGTCATATTTCATCTAGCAACTGTGCAGCACTTAAGCTAAGTATATAACTTTGGAATATTGTGCTGCAGCTTGTCCCCAGGCTTGTTAATGAACCGATCCTTGACGGAAAGAAAGCCAAGGTGGTGTGTTGTGGGGCCCGCCACAGCGCTATACTGACGGGTAAAACTTATGTTGTGGTTTTGGAGATATCTTTTTAATTTTAGGTTCAATGCTTTATAGTGTCGATACCGGGTGATAAGTATTGCCTCAGGCTGGTGCTTTTGATGGTGCTATATGTAAAAAATAAATCACCATTAGTTTTTATACTGTTGATTTTGGTTTCAATATTGAAAAAAATATAAATCCCGCTATTAATAAAAAAATCATTATAGTTTTGAAATATCTTCACTCTACAAAGTATTGAAACCAATCCAGGGCTGCTTGCTTTTGTGTTTTGTGATTAAAATTACACTTTAAAGCAGAGTATGATTTTGAAGCTGGATTAGTATTCATCTTTTTTACATATAATGCAGATGATGGTGAAATCTTCAGCTGGGGATGGAACAAATACGGTCAGGTTAAAAAAAAGAAATCAAATAAAATAAACCATTCTATTCGAACTTTGTTTTCTTGTCAATATGTCTTTGATGAAACTGGTTTGTATTTCAGCTCGGTTTAGGTGATACAGTCGATGTCAACGTGCCTGCAAAGGTTCCCCTGAAAGATTACACTCCCAAGAACATAGCCTGTGGCTGGTGGCATACACTTTTGCTATGTGAGAGAGTTCCATCTACTTAGTTTAAAAGCTTTTTTTGATGTGGTTATTGCCATTTCGAGGTGAAGTTGCGTTAAATCACTTAAAATCACAATTGAATACACCCTCTTTAAGTTCTCATTAGATGTTTGTTCTGTATATTTCTTGGTGTGGCTAATGAACTTCAGCTTAATCTGTGTCCTCATTATGCAGTGAATAGATTGAGTTGAATTTTATACGTAGCCGAGTAATTGCAATTAGGCCGCCTCTTTTGTACTTCCAACCATTTATTAGAAACAACAGAATTTTTATTCAGAGGTTATCTAATAGGCATTGTTCTAAAAATCGACCAAGGCGGCGCCTAGGCGCTAGGCGGTGCCCGAGCGCCTCCGGTTTGTACGAATCGGCAGAAAAAATCAGCCAAGGGGCTAGGCGGCGTCCAGGCGGCCCTAGGCAGACTTGGGCGGATCGGCGGCCAGGCGGTTAGGCGGTGCCTAGGCGGACCTAGGCAGGCTCCGCGATAATTTTTCAGTCTTTTTTTCTTAATTTTTTAAATAAAAATTATATTATTTTGTTCTCATATTTTCTTTAAAATATATTAATTTTATAATTCGGATTTAGGTGTGTCGATTTATTATAAGTTGAAATAATTTTATTTTACAGGTAGTTAAAATAAATAAAAAAACAAGGTATTTATATTGATTTCTAGGCACCGATCACGAGCCGCTTAGGCCCTGCCTAGACGCTCTAGGCGCTGGTCGAGCGTTTACCGAACGCCTAGCAACTTTTAGAACACTGCTAATAGGTCAAGGTATTCAGTGGTCTGCATCAATTGGACTACGTAATAAGAAAAAAACTAATAACGGTCTAAAATTCATATCACATTTGGTGAACGAGCACATGTTTACATTTAACAAGAAAAAACATTGACACTAAAAGAAAAAACATTGACACTAGCAGCAATAACGTGCTCGTCAACACTGTTGTTTTCTTCTTTTTTCATATCACAAGAAATATAATCCTAGAGATATCTGAAAATCGTATTAGAATGGCAAGTCTTCATTCCACCCGATCGAACAACAATGAAAGAGATTAACAGCACAATCCCTACTGATCTGCAGATCTTGGCAGCCTTCCATTGCCTCGATATTCAGCAGCTGGCTGGAAGAAAGTCAACGCAAAAGCTTTATTTGATTATCTTCATAAACTTCATAGATACTCGAAGCAAAAAGGCATTCATAAACTTCATCAACAAACACTCTTGAAGCATAGACCATAGAGGCAAAGTAACATAAAACGGCTAATTTGCAATTATCGAGAAGACCTGTATCACAAAAGATTGATATAAATAAAAGTGTTGAGGAATATCAGGTGCGTCCACAATCAAATAAGTCCAACACAGTCCAACATTAGGGAATCTGCGAATTTCAGATCATGGAGAACAAATGCAGGGTCCAGTTAATAAGAGAGTTTGGATATCAATGACCAATAGATTATAAATCAAATGACACCATTTTCCTTTCTGGACACTCCATAGTCGGAAGATCTGAGAAGACTGCTACCTTAGTCTAATATAGCACGCAAAAAAATAATAAATATATTATCTATTTAAAACAAATCAATTTCTCTGTTCATGCATATTAATCCAAATGATAAACTGAACTGCTCAAATACACCTCCGAAATCATGACAGGTTTCAAAGCAAACTTGATTACATCCAGAAAAAGCATACCAATGAAAAATGCCATGGACCTAAAAGTTCTGCTAGATTTATGGTGACGAAAAATAATTCAGTCATTCAAGAAAATAATTTCATAGTACTCGACATAAGGTAGACTATACAGAAAACTTGTATGAGTAACGATCTTCAGTAAGAGCCTCAAATGCCATATGGGTATATTCGCAAGCCAACTGGCATAAACATGATAACCCACCCTGACTATTTTTCAGCAGCACCGTAAAAAGTACACTACAGAAAGTAATGCAACCAAAAAGGGTGAAAGATGAAGACTATTTGGCACCAGCTATAACAAAAGGACCGCATATAAATGGAAATGATGAAGTGATATGGTTTATCAATCATAAGGGGATATATGTTGAAGTACCTGTCCATGTGCTCTGCCACAAACAAGCTACAGCTCACTATAATTACGCCAAACGGCACGAAATTCTTCACGGAATGTGTTCAGGCGAGCTTTCAAATTGGGTGTTCTAAAGCTTGCGTGAATGAGAGTGGCTGTGGCAGAGAGCAAGTTAGAGCCAATAAATTCAGAGGGTAAAGAAACATAAGAATATGAAATGTTGAGTTACCAAGAAGTCCACTAGCAAAGGCCCATAAAACCATGAGAATGCCACATGAAGCAAACCAGAGGAAGAAACTCACTGCAAGGTAGAAGAAAGCATAGTTATTAACATGTGACAGTACATCCTCCAAGACCAAATAAGAAGTAAACAAATATGATAAAGAGAAAATATCTCTTACTTGCAGAAAATACCAAGACGAATACCCATCGAGGTTGTCCACATATATGTATAGCTCGTTTTGCAGATGGGCGCCCTCGAATAACAGGTCTAAAATTACACGCCATGTAAGAACCAGAAACAGATGATATGCAAATTTAGTAGCAACTGTACTTACGTGAGAGGAGGTCTCATCTTTCCTGCCAAATGAGGAGAAAACTTTCTGACAGTCCTCGTGACCTTTTCACTGAAAGTCCCTGCAAAGCTACAAGAACAAACATTGACGATATTGGAAAAACGACAAGACAATGGCGAGAAACAGAAGAATAATGGTTCAAGACTATTCAAGAGATGATCAGCCATCCATTACAACAAAACCCGTTCTCATCCAAGAAAAGTATTAGGAAGGTGAACCACACATTACACTCGTGATTCCAGACTTATAGTTCTTTCCAATGCATACTTTCATCATATGATAAAAGGAACGACTATTAAATCGCTCTGCCCCCAACTTCCAGTTTTCCTTATCAAGGATTAATGCTTAAAAAGCCAGTCCGCACTAATAATTTAATCAAAAGAGGATACCTATCGTTCAGAAATGCAATACTCAAAGCTGTCGTAAAAGCAGCAACAATAGCAAGCGGCCTTCTCAAAAAACCCATTCCTGAAAGCCACACACACATATCAACACAATAATTAGCAGTTGTGTTCAAAATAAGCAATCAGAAATGGCAAGTGCATCTTCATCATCACTCTCTCTTACCAAGAATGAAAACAATCATCAAGAAATAGTTGGTGCGGTAGCTGCAGAAGGCCAAAAACAATGATTAATGACAAACACTACAGAAACTAGAAAGTCACTACACAGACTGCCCCAATCATACTTGGAATCAGAAAACTTTTATCTAAAGATCGCACAACCATACATAATCTCACTGACTAAAAACGCAACAGCTTACCCAATATCCTTTCCAAGCCATCGAACCAAAACTGGAAACGATAATCCCGTGTTTATCACACCAAACACATGCAAGGAGTTAACCGCGCTAAAATGAAGAAAGGGGAAAAACGTACTAATAGAGGTTGCACTTGAGGCGGCTGTTCCATTTGGCGTACGAGCGGGGCACGGTGAACCGAGAGAAGAATTCCGACACGGGGCGCGGCGGGGACGACCAGTCCACTTCGCGCAGGGCCTCGGCCAGATCCTCCGCCGTCACGTTGCTCCAATCCATGAACGATCGCGAGAAAACCCTAGGAATATGAACCAAAAAAAAAAAAAAGAGGAAAAATAATACAAATACAATAAGCGAAATGAAATCGGAGAAGGTATATCCGGCGAGTTTTGGGGGAGAATTTGATCGGAGCGATTGAGAAGATGAAGCACACGGAGTGAGAGTGATTTTTCCAGCTCCGTTAATGAAAATGAAAAATGGAGATGAAATGAGTTAAAAGAAGGGATTTTTAAAAAATAATAAAGACTAAATGAAGTATGTCTGAGCCCGGGTTCGAACCGGGGACCTCTAGTGTGTGAGACTAGCGTGATAACCGACTACACCACCCAGACAAGTTGTGCAAAGATTTACAAGTCAAATAAATATACGATCGTTAGTGGTGTAGTTTAATGTTTTGATGGGATGATTAAGGGCGTACTTGGATACAAAATTTTCAGCTTAAAATGGATATTTATTAGTTAATCAGGGTTTGTTGTAAATTGGAGTCCTCAATGTTCACCAAGCATCCATCAATCAACCAAATATGTAAAATATGCCGTAAAGAGAACAAGAAAAGAGAAGCAGAAAAGTCTATAATTTTATTCATCGGTATTCATATTAATATAGAGTTTACAAAGGGAGAAACCCTAAAACTTAATCCTACTAACTAATGGACTTCAGGCCCAATTATATATTAGTAATGTCCATATTAATATATTTATAACACTCCCCCTTGGACATTACTACATGCCTCATTAAAAACCTTGCAATTAAAAACCCAACAGGGGAAAAAAAATTAGTCAAGGGGAAAAGAGTACATGATTTATAAAAATTCATGTGTTTTACTAGCTGCCTCGTTAACAACCTTTAACTAATAAACCCATTGGGAAAAACTTAGTTAAAGGAAAAAGAGTACAACATTTGGTCTTCAGGACCTAATCTTCAGGATTATTTTGAGTTTTTCCCTCCCCCTGAAGACAATAGTCTTCCCAGTTTACGCATACCAATACCATAAATGTATTTTTCAAAAGTAGATGTAGGAAGGGATTTGGTGAATAGGTCTGTCAAGTTCTCGCTAGACCTTACCTTTTGTACAATGATCTCACCGCTCTTCTGGAGCTCGTGTGGGTAAAAGAATTTTGGAGCAATGTGTTTTGTCATGCTTCCTTTGACATACCCACTACTCATTTGTAAAACACAAGCTGCATTGTCCTCATAAAGGACAGTGGGGGTTATATCATTTGTCATTCCGCATGATCCACGAATATGTTGGATTAAAAATCTTAACCATACACATTCGCGTGAAGTCTCGTATAAAGCAATTATTTCTGAATGGTTTGAAGATGTAGTAACCATGGACTGCTTGACCGACT